TAAAACATTGAAAATTTTTTATTAGACATGGGCTCACAGCTCTATGAGGGTTTATTTAGTAAATCAAACAGGTGCAATCTACTGGCTAGATACAACCAAAGAAATACTGAAAACATTGCCACCACTGCATATCAGATATTTACATTACGATTCATAACAGTAGCAAAATTACAGTTATGAAGTAGCAACGAAAATAATTTTATGGTTGGGGGTCACCACAACATGAAGAACTGTATTAAAGGGTCGCGGCATTAGGAAGGTTGAGAACCACTGCACTAGAGCAGTGGTCACCAACCTTTTGGACCTCACAGACCACCAGTGGTCTGCAGACCACCGGTTGGCGACTGCTGCACTAGGTCCAAAAGGTTGGCGACCACTGGTTTAAGGAAACTTTTGGAGCAGCAGTTGCCAACCAGTGGTCTGTGGACCACTGGTGGTCTGTGAAATCCGAAAGGTTGGCAACCGCTGCACTAGAGGGCGGCAAAATTAAGCTTACTAGCAAAGTCTGGATACATTGGCTGCCAGAATGTTACTTTCCTTTCACCTTGCTTGAAAATTTTAAATAATTGTTCTTTATGGTTGAAACGTTACTATTGCTGACCTCCAACCTTCATAAGCTACACTTACAAATATCAAGATAAGAAATGCAAAGATAAAAAAATTAAAAAGCTAAAATAATATTGACAATTTATTTAATGTTCATAGGTATTTCAGTTGGTCACTAGACAGAAACAAAAATCCCACTGGATCTTCAATTCATTCAGTACAAATTGCCGAATTGATGGACTTTTATTTTATAATCTTTGCAAGGAAGGGAAGGGATTCCTTAGACTTAAAGTTTAATAGCTTAGACTGGAAAAATAACCATACCTAGAAGTCTAATAAATGACAACCCAAACCTTACTATCCAGTCAAGTACTCACTGAAATCCTGCCCTCACCAATTGTGCCTACTGTCTCACCTTAACCCATCAACAACTAAAGCTGAAGTGTAGTGTTTTCTCTCAACTTTTTCAAAAGACAAGTTTTGGATATTCAGAACTAATGACTTTTAATTAACTTAAAAATTTCTAACACTTTATGCATTAATGAAAACTGTTCCATCTATATTGCACACAAATTGCACAATATGGCAAAATTGATGGTTTAAAGAGAATTCTTAATCAAGATTTTAGTAGAAAAGTATAGTATGCTAGCTATTGGTATAACCAAAAATAATTATCTGAATTAATGTTATTAATTTTATTGAATTAAAACTTTATTTTTTAATTAAATTTATTGGGGTGACATTGGTCAACATGAACATATAGGTTTCAGGTTGAATTAAAACTTTAAACTTTGACTTACACTTTAATGATAGGTTCTAAGTTTGAGTCAGAACCTGTAAGTTTGAGATTTGTGAACTGACCACAAATCTATTTCCTTTTAGAGCTATGTCATTAGAATTAAAGGCATAAAAAAAGCTATACACAGTAAAAGGTAAACAGATGATTTTTAATGTTTGAAAGTTGAAGACTACATAAATGAGTGGCAACTGACATGGCAGAGGAAAAGGAGAGGAAGCACGGCTTGGTGCATACAGAGCGTGGCTGGGAAAGGAGTCAGAAAGCCAGTCTGTCTTACAGACCCAAGGGAGGCTCAGAATTGGGTCCCCAAATTCTTGCAATGAAGCCCTGTCAGTTAAATAAAGTTCTGTTCACTCCTAGCACTTCCAGTTAGATATCAAAGGCAACCAGAGACCACCACACATCTGAGAGAAGCCAACCAGTAAGAGAGATGGAACAGAATGGCTATTATCAACAAGACAGGTAATAACAAATGTTGGAGAGGATATGGAGAGAAAGAAACCCTCACTCACTGCTGATAGGAATAAAACTGCCACTATGGAAAACAGTATGGAGTTTCCTCAAAAAATTAAGAACAGAGTTACCATATGACCCCGCAACCCCTCTTCTGAGTATCTACCTCAAAACTTTAAAAACATTAATTTGCAATTATATATGCACCCCTATGTTCATTGCAGCATTGTTCATGGTGGACAAGACACGGAAACAATCTAAGGGTCCTTGAATAAGTGAATGGGTAAAGAAGTGGTACATGGAATACTACTCAGTCATAAGAAAAGATGAAGTTCTGCCATTTATGACAACATGGATATTATTATGCTAAGTGAAGTCAGTCAGAAAAAGCTAAGAACCATATTATTCCACTCATATGGGGGATATAAAACTAAAGTTTATGGACACAGACAACTGTATGGTGGTTACCAGAGGGAAGAGGTGGGGGAAGGAGGTAGTAAAGGGTAAAGGGGTCCAAATATATGGTGAAGGGAGATGATTTGACTTTGGGTGGCGGGCACACAGTGCCATATATCAATCAAGCATCATAGAAATGTACACTTGAAACCTATATAATCTTATTAACCAATGCCCCAATGAATTCAATTTTAAAAAATCTGAACTCATAAAAAAGTTGAAAACATTTCCTAAAATCTCCATGCTAAGAACATCACATTTTTTAGTGATTACTTAATAAAGCAACTTAGACTCTATGGTGTCAGCAAATGAGTTGTCCTGAATAAAATAAAACTACTACATAAAAAAAAGAAAATTAATGGGAATGAGACCATTCAGAAGTAAATAAAAATTAAAAAAAATAAATCCTTAACCTCAGAAAGGCAAAAATTGTATTGGTAAAAGAACAAAATGCTATAAAAAAGAATGACAGGATATAAGAGAACACTATAAATTAAAAATAAGATAAACAAAACAAAGAATGATAAAAGGATTGGAACATAGAGTCAAGGAAATCGCCAAAGTAGAAAAAGACAAAATGAAAAATAAGAGGGGAAAAATTTAGAGATTCATGTAGGAATACTGCCCTAAGAGTTCCAAATTTCCAAGTAATGGGGATAACTAGAAACAAGAAGGAATAAAGAATAATATAAAAGAAACAAAAATTCCCACCCTCACTGGTGTTTTTCAGTGGTGAGAGCATCCGCCCAGCACCAAAGGGTCATGGGTTCAATTCTCAGTCAAGGGGCACATACCTGGGTTGCAAGTTCAATCTCCGGCCTTGGTCAGGGCACGTGAGGA